GTACTCCATGGACGCTGCGCTGAAGTGCAGACAGTACTGCAGGCATCTGAAAAATTAAGGTTTGCTATTAGTCCCGTCAGAAATCACTGAAAATATGTTCACTCACCTGTATATTTTGCAACGATAGAGCTCTAGGACACATTAATAGAGCAGCAGCTGCTGATAGATACTTCCCAGTGTCTCCCCTAACAACCACCAATGACAGGAGACAGGCGCAAGCTACAGCAGTAAAGTGACTCCCATCATTGGCCACAGAACTTTCAGGGCCATGCAGTGTTGCTAAATCCAACAGCAGTTCAAACAGCGCCTCTATAACTGCTGAAGGTTCACTTTTCAAAGCCTGAAACAATATTTATATTAAAGTAAATGGAAGATTAAATGCGGTCAAAAAATATTTACCTCAGGGGCCTGGCCTTGCAGAACATCTAACAGAGCACTTAGTGCTTTGGTGCAAAGCACTGGATGAGAGATTCTGCTTTCTTTAATTAGTTCAAATACTGATCTCAGCCCTAAACCAACAACCTTTGAAACTTTCACTGGAGTATAGGTACTGCTCTGCGAGTTGTCGTCTGAATCAGTTTCAGCCTCACTTTGGTCTTGGAGTGGGGCGCTGCAACTGCTCTGCAAGTACTCTTGACTGGCTTGCCGAATCCAACGATCAAATACGACCAAGCGAATTGAGGCAAAGATTGCAAATGCTGAAGCATTACCTGGCAGTTCAATTTCTGGAGCAGTTTGGACTTCATTCTCACACACAACATCTAATTTGTTTTTTTGTTTGCGGCGAGCTTTCGCCGATTTATTTCTTAACCTCTTCCAGTCTATCCGCTTTCTGAAGTTATAAATCAAGTATCTTAAGTCAGGGAGCAAAAGTGGTTTGTAAGATACTTACTTTATGGTTTCTGGGGCAACTTTAAAAGATTCGTGAAATATTATGCTGAAATCTTCCGGGTCCGGCAACATTTTTATTCAAACGCACGATTGTGTACGTTTATTCGTTTACTGATATTGATTAGTCTAGAGATCTTAGTCACTAGGCAGCCCCTGTGTGTCATCGTCTAGATAATCGATAATAAGGGTTGTCATACTACAACCCTATTATTAAGTAAATCGTTTACATTTAAACATTTTTTTCTTGAATTGGTTTTCTTGGGTTAAACATTTTTAAGCCTTTTTAAACGAGATTCTAGCCGGCACCAGCGCTCCAGCTTGAAAAACAATAGATAGTAAAGTAAACAATCGATTCAAATCAAACAACTGTCATCCGCTGCCGGCTGTCAGGTTGCTGTCAAAATCAAAATCTTTTAAACTATCCATCGGCTGCGATCAGTTGTAAGTTTCCTAAAATATCCACATAAAACTAAAGTTTATACAAACTATTTTTTATACTCATTTTGCGTGGAGTAGCGGCTCGAGTAAAGATAACATGACCACGCAAGACAACTATTGAAATGTACTCTACAAGACTATTGGCAGCGAAATTTTTCTGGAAATCGTTGCACACCGCTTAAAAAGTGCAAATGAAGATTGGAATACTGCCGCTTTGATGTACTAAATGACTCCGTCGTTACCCCGGGATAGACATACGTTATGGCAGGTGTTCCTGTCATATAGATTGCGGCGTTGCCAGCTTATCGGACAATTATGCTACCTATGCTATTTTGCTAGAATATTATAAAAAAGAAGCTTTGAATAAAATATTGAGGGATACCAATGTTTGTCAAAAAACTAAGAAAAGCTGCGCTTGCGTCTATGCGGCGAAACGTTAACGTCTCTGAACACTTTTATAAATGCCCAGATATATGTATAAGACAAAATACAATTGGAAAAAACAATGTTTCATTATAAAAATATATTTATTTACTATTTGATCTAAAATTACATGATCACCAATAGGAGAAGTACGATTTTCATTTTCTCTACTTTTTATTAGAGGATTATGCTTTTTTAGTGACTGCATTCGCACTTGGACGAGGAAAACCCCTAGAAAACCTCAACCGTCACTGCTAAGATTAATTGTATCAGGTAATGAAAAATTAAGTCGTTCCACAATTCTGGCTTCATTTGTATAATCGAAAATCGCCAGCATGCACTTACCTTTCAGCAAACTGCTCTAGTCCCTGGAACAAGAAGAAATAACATGAGTACACAAGTATGGTAGACGACAACGATATTGCGAAAGGCTTTCGCGGCCATCATCCAATGTAATTTGGTTGGAGTCCTATGATCTACTACAGTAGTAACGTCAAATAAAACTATTTTATGACGGCCTAACTACCCAAAAAACAACCAAATGACAACGATATTGTATTGGTTCACATTTTTCTGCTTCCTTGTGTTACCAACCCGCCATATTTTTTTTGAAATAATTTCTTTAAACACAATAATACAAAAAGTATAACCAGTTTTAACAATAATTCCCTAATCAGTGTTTGCAAACACTGGCCCCGAGAATAACAAGACAATAATTAATATCTATGAACTACAGGTACACTGCAATGTTGCTCATAATTTCAACAAATAAATTCATTAACATTTTTACAATCTTTCAATTCTCTAACAAAACTTCTATAGTTATTTGAATCTTTTATACAATGAGGTAAATTATAAAAATTTCTTAATTGCGTCTGTGATCTGATTTTTTAAACCTATGTTAGTTCTTGTGGAAATTTGATAAACATTATTTAGTGATCTTGTTTGGTGATCATGCACGTTATGGTAGAACCTAATATTTATGTTACTTTTTAGTAGATTATTTATAATTTTATAAACAAGTTTACATTGTTCCACCTCCAATAACACTCTTAATTTGTTTAAATTTAAATTTGAATAAAGTGTATTAGAACTTGTAAGCCAATCAAAATTAAACAATATTTTCAGAACTTTAATAGTACGGTCATTATATGATACGATATAAATAATAATGGAATCTGTAATATGTAATTAATTACAATAGCGATCAACGTTACTTCAACAACTTGATTCAGTCATCTCACTTCTCATCCAGACTTGCAAGAGAAAATGTTTTATCACTATCGGCAAGAAATGTAAACGAATACAATATCGTTGTTGTGTACTATACAACGTTATTAAAATTTTCATTTATTTAAAAAACATAGGATATCAACCCTAACACACAAGTAGATGAGTATGCAAGGCTTACCTAGTTTCCTGCACAGATATCCTCTTTCCCTCAGAAGAGTTGGAAGTAGACCTAATTCCCACTTTGGAGGCACTTGACACCCACATCACAACACCAAAACACCACTGAGAGACAATCGACAACCCTATACTGAACACCACTACTGAAATAAAGTAGCTAAACCGAATAGAGCTCTGTACAGAGCTGCGAACGCGTAGACATTCCGCAGCGCCGGTGGTTGCCGAGAGACTGAAGCGTGTGCGTGCTACCGGTCAACGTTAACATCGAGTCGCTTCATGAGCAGACGCGCGAAGTGGGAGCTGGAAAGGGGCGTGGCTATACTACCCGGCCGTACAGCACTCGCACGCTTCAGGCTCTTGGCGACCGTCGCCGTCGACGCAGCGGATCTCGCTGCAGGGATACGGTACGGCCGGGTAGTACAGCAACGCCCCTTTCCAGTTCGCACTCCGCGCGTCTACTCCCGAAGCGCCCCGATGTTTACATTGACCGGTAGCACTCACACGCTTCAGTCTCTCTGCAACCGTCTGCCAGCGAGGTACAGCACTCGCACCCTTCGGTCTCTCGGCAACCGTCGGCTTAGTCGAATGTCCACGCATTCACAGCTCCGTGCAGAGCTCTATTCGGCTGATTTATTAGGGTTCTCGATTGTGGTGTTTTACTGTTGTGACGTGGGTTTCAAGTGGTCTACTTCCAACTCTTCTGAGGGAAACAGGATACATGTGCCGCAAACTAGGTTAGTCTTGCATACTGATCTACTTGTGTGTTAGGGTTGACATCCTCTGTGTTTTAAATGAATTGCATACACTGAGAGATTAGTCATATACTGAGGTATTTGGACAAAACATTTTAAAAAAGTACGACCCTGTATCTAATGGCATCTTTTTCTACAACTTGTATCACGTTACATTTGTTTTTTTTAGTTATAAACGTGTTTTTTCTATTTTTCCATTTTATTTAAGTAGGCGTTGCAAACAAATACTTGATGTAAGAATGTGTGATTACTGAATTTAACCTATTCTGATCCTTATCTTGGCCACCTTGTAATATAGTAGTATGTTAGTATTCTTATGTACTTACATTCATTTCTGAAAAATCTCAAAACTATTAACAAAGCGTCGAACAAAATACTATTTTCAGTCCAACGAAGTGGTGATAGTCAATAATTAACAGTATTTCACATCGTGCTTTAACACTAAGGCCCGTATCGTCAGTCATCCCTACAATTGTAGGGCGCGTTTATGGCCTCCTTGATTGTCATACGCCTTTCTCTCCTTCAAAAATTTCTAGATTACACTTGTCCCGTGTCAGTGTCTGCGCTCTCCTATTGTGAATATATGTTTTCTTTTTAAATTGTAAGAAATTTCAGGCTGATAAAACATGATATAACTCAAAAGCAAGCACAATTTGATGCAAATAGATGTTTGTGACATAACCTCAAAATAGAGTTCTGACACGGAGAAGCAGAAAACTATGACAATCAAGGAGGCCATAAACACGCCCTACAATTGTAGGGACGACTGACGATACGGGCCTAAGCCCTTGGCGGTATGTTTACGATTGGTGTGATTCTTTGGCGTTTTCAAACCTGGAATCTCAGCCAAGTGTTTAGGAAACTACAATGTCCTACTTCGGTTGTTGGTGGATACGTGGGCACCAAATGTCCCAAAAGGGTAGCGATATATGATGCATCCAAAATGCTGATTCCGTCTGCCTGTAATTCCACATGATCGACGAGTTATAAGTTGGATTCAAGTTCAAATCCTTCAGCTGTCCATTTTTAGTTTCCTCAAAATGAATGCTTCATTTCGCTACGCATAGTCTTCTATGGTCTAGTAGAGTATACTTCAATACTTGGGTGGCCACGTTATCTTTACTCGGGCTGGAGTGACTATTTATTTCTGTTTATATTCAGATATTATAATTCATTTTTCTATTCTAAAAGTTTGCTGAAATCTCGGTAGTCCGATCCTGTTTTGCGGTTTGACAGGCTGACCTCCTGCCATTTACCACACTTTAAGGTTATGTAAATGTCAAGAAGCTAATTCGAAGCGAAAGTAAACATGTAACATAAAACTGAAAAAAATATAATCAAATTGCAATGGCAAAGTAAGTACCGTTTCTGAATTATATAATGTGCGCTCTTAGCATGGTGCGTTTTTCAGAGAAACAACCATCATATTCGTGTATGATATAGAAAAACTACAGAAAGAAGAGGACGACCCAGCCTCTGCAATTCTCTATTTTCATCCTACATGGGTGTCTGATCAACAGAAGTCCTCGCTGTGTGGTCAGATTGTAGGAACAATACAATGTGTCAAAAATGTCCTAGCCAAACCAAAGATCATTTCACTGCAGACTGGAAAATTTTACATCATCCAGAACAATCGCTACCTATTGGTGAGAACTTTTCCCTTAAACAAGTGACATATTTATATGTAAGGCCCCTTCATCTGTAGCTCCAGCCCTATCTTAGAACCTTCTCTAGTGGCAATTGGTTGTCCGTTATATGATGGGGGTTAACTAATGGAGTTCAAAAATTACTGCCTCAAATCTTGAGAATTTATACAAATTAATCTCTTTGACATCTATCTATAGAATGCCACCAAATGTCAAGCATCCGAGACTCCAGTAGATGGTTCTTCATTGACCAAGGTGGTACCACACCATAGATTTTTTAGACATAGATTAAGTATATGTTGCAAAAAAGGAATAGATATTATAGACATGTCACACTGTAAAGGGGTGGTAAATTATCAGTCATTTGAGCAATATGCTCAGAAAATAGTGTGCAGTGCTCACTTTGTAAGCTTTTGCACTCATTCTATATTTTGGTCTGGGTCTTTGCATGTATTACCCAAGAAATCATAAAAAAATTGATCGGCATGTTTATCATGAAGAAAGCAGTGGGTTATCAAAGTAAAAGGCTATTAAACATGTTATTGTAGTTATGAAATATTATTAACTTTCTGTTTGTTTCACTTTATTTGTAGTGTAAAATCATGCCACAGGGTGTTTTAAAGTTAATGTCAATGATTTATTTATTAAAGTGACAGTATAAGTACTAGTACAATATTTGATATATGATTTCAATTGTTTATAGCTGTAAGATGTTGAACATTAGTATATTGATCATTCAAGAGTCATTTATCTCTTAAAATTAACTAAATACCACCAGACCAAAAGTTGTATTGATAAACTTAATCTAACCCACCTGGTATATCTTCTTATTTTTTCATAGCTGTCTCCATGAGATTATTAAATTTTTTTATTACATATTTTTATTATTCTGTCTTTGCCATACTTTTATATATTGGTGGAATCATTTTGTTAAAAGAAGTATGTGTAGAGCCTCTTTTTTTCAGGGCGTCGGTACAGACAGAAACATCACTGATTTACTACTTGAACATAGAGCAAATGCAGTATATTCATTAGTCAAGTTCTTCCACAATGATTTTGTGTCTCTTGCCGAACTTTACCATGGTGAAGGTCTTCCAGCCAAATTATACCATATATTTGATACTTACTTGAAAATGCTGGCATTTGGAGGGAATATATTTTCACATATTCCCACATTGAATCTTCCAAAGGTAATATTACGTTCTAGATGTATTCAAATAAAAACTTTGTAGTTGATAATATATTATTATTTTGATTTTAGAGCGCAAGTAGCGTGTATATGGAAGCAGCTCATATCTTGGAATGCTGTCAAGATCTTGAGAATGTTCTGGGTGGATCCATGCTTTATCATAACAAGTATGTTTTTAATAGTTTTCAGAGACTTGTAATGTCACATGTTCCTGTTAAGGGGTGATATATTAGGTCAAAAGCAACACGTCCGGTTTGGCAGATGCGCCAATACACAGAGTCAAACACAGTAACGTGAGGTGTTCGGCGATTCGGGAAACGTTGCCGATATTCACGGCGGGCAGCTGCAGAATCGCCGTTACAAAGTCCATAACATAACATTATGTCTGCGTATTCTTCATTTGTAAAAGTTTGCCCGTGCTCGCTATGGCGAGGTCCTGGCGGATCTTCTGCGTCTGATGCTAAAGAAATCACTCGAAATTAACTGGGAAACTCGAAAATAATAATCGTGCGTAAAACGTGTGCGTGTACGCAGTAGTTGATACCAACTAAACCTAATTCTCACTCGTGAATAATAACAGCTCTCTCTCTCTCACTCTCCACTAAGTCAGCTCTTCTCGCTCGCTTCCTCGTGGAGCCGATGCCATAAAACAATCATGGCTTGCGAGTCCTTTGATTACAGGAACGACTTGTTCAAACAGGTAATACAAATTTCTTAAAAATCCGGCCTCTTTTTTTTTTTTTATATCGAAACAGCCGCGCAGGCAGAAGCCTAAATGCCGGAACACCGCGGCTGCTATGATGATCCCAAAGAAATTTTGTTAATACGATTTTTGAACTGCCTAAGGTTAGTAGAACTGGGAAAAGCTTCCTCCCGTAGTTTGTTCCACAATCTAGACACCCTCGGGACAAAGGAGCGGTCGTATCGGCCAGTTCTGGATGTACGAAGTTTGACACGGTTAGGATGGGACGCCGAAGTCAGGCGGGTCTGTCTGGCAGGCACATCGCGCGGCGGCATCATGGAAGAGAGCTCTGAGGAGCAAAGTCCGTTGGTGTAGCGATATAAAAGAGCCAGATCGCCGACGGCCGCCGGTGCGAAAGAGTCCCGAGACTGCCTGTTAGAGAAGAGTCATCGATCAGTCGGACCGCCCTCCTCTGGACAGCATCGAGCATGGACAATGTAGTCGGGGCGGCAACACCCCAAATGTGTGAGCAATACTCGAGGCTAGGCCTTATCTGGGCCTTGTATAGAGTGAGAAGGTCATGCGGAGAAAAGTACTTCTTAGCCCTAAACAAATAGCCTAGCTTTTTCCCAGCAGCTGCAGCTATTGAAGGGTGTGGGTGTCATTGTTGTTTCTCTGCATGTACTTCAGATAATTGAACGCTTAATACCTCAAATGAAAGCTTCTTAGATAGAGATATTATTTACATAATTTGCACATTTCATTACTAGGAGATTTTTTACAGAAAATTGCATTTTTTATCGAATAAGTTAGTAAAAAAAAAAAGAAATTGATACATTTAAAAAGCGTAATTTTAAAACGTTTGTAGCTTTTCAACATTCTATTACTTATTATGAACTATTGGAATGTCTACTATGCGACGATAACAAAAAAATCAAAATCAAGCATGCAGTTTTTTGTATTTCAATTTTAACCCTCTGAAATCGGAATAAAAAACTTAAAATTCAAATAACTCAAAAATGGTTAACTTTTGGATAAGACATGATAGGACAAAATCAGTTGCTTTTGACCTAATCTATCGCCCCTTAACAGGAACACGTGACATTACAAGTCACCCTGTATAAGTGATAGAGGGACATGGGTATAGTCAAGAATAAAATAATATTGATATAACATAACAAGAGCAGTTATTTGCCTACCCTCCTGTATCCGGTTGGACTAAGGGATCAATCTCTCTAGCATTTGTTAATTGAAGTTTTATAAGGGTATATTTAAGTGATATTTTATACCTGGCATCCGAACTAACTGGGTATTCACACGTTTCAGAGTTGTTGCAACACAACTAAGTGCAGACTTGACAAAAAGAATCATCCTCACCGATCCATATAGGATAAAATGCCCATCCGACGCGATGGAAGTCTCATTTGAGTTGCCAGTTAACGTACAATTACTCCAAGTGTACATATCTAGTAAGGAATACAACTCGTTATTGGATGTTTCCAACAGAAACAGATTTGCTTTTCAGTATTTGTGCAGCAAGGATATAAAGAAGGTTGGTATATTATGCACTAAACTGTTTTCTGTATTACCTAAAATGTTCAATACAAGGTGTTGCAGAATATTATCAGGAGAGTTTGCACATAAAAAAGTTCATTTAAGCGTTTATTTATGGATGATCATATAAATTGTAGATACCCTTTACGAAGCTAAAATTTTGCAGAGCATCCCTAAATCCTCATCCCAACAAGATACTTCGTTGGTGTCAGCGATGAAGCGCGATCAGTCGCTGATCTTCACAGCTGTTCCCGAGGAAGGTCCCGACTCGTCGAACCAACCGTTTGTACCTGCCGTCGTCAAGAAGAGCCGTCCGAAGTTTCTGAACCTGAAAAGCGCAAGCATAGATGAAGCGTCCGAACGAAAATCTAGACAAGTTGGTACACCCCTGTGCGGACAGACTAGCGTCGCATCCACTCCTGTTGCTGACCTCAAAAGGTTCGTGCATCAGAACCCGATGTCGATCTGCACTAGTAAGGGAGCGCCACCACAGGTATGTGTTCATATTTTCACGACTCGGCACTCCTAGTCGGTGTTGTATTTTCTATGTCATTTAGTACAGGGTCGTCAGAAAGAATGCATGTTTTAGAATGGGTACTACATCGAGTGGGCTGGTCCCGTGTCGGTGGGGAAGGGCGTGTTGGATAGTGGACAAGATGGTTTGGAATGTTGAGCATCGTGTGTTCACTGTACGTCGTCGGTACTTTCAAAATGGCGAGTCTGTCGTTTGAAGGCAACGTGAGTTTCGCGTTCACTTTCGTGTTTCACGTTGTGGGACAGTACCAGACCGTAAAACCGTTTTGAGATGGGTGGAAGCTGTCAAAACAACAGGTAATGTGATGAAGAAAAAACAGTCAGGGCGAAACTGTACTGTTATTACTCCCCAAAACTCAGACAGAGTGAGAGTTTTGTTTGTTTGTTTAAGATTTATTTAGCATGATTGCTACAATTACATTTTTCTAAAAAACTAAACAATTACATAACATACAGACATTCAGAAAAAAAACAAAATTTGCATCTCTAAGAATTTTCATTGTCCATGAAATATTCCTTTAATTTTCTTTTAAATATCTTTAAATTACAAGTAGACTTTATATATCATTATTTAGTTTATTAAATTCAAGTAATCCTTTCTGAAATATTGATTTGCTAGTTATATTACTATTGCAATTTTGTAAATGAAAATCTATATTTCCACTTGTATAAGAATTGTGGTAATGATTATTCAATTCTATGTAGTGTTTTAAATGTTCTGGCAAGAGATGATTTTTTATTTTAAATAACGGGTGATTTTTTAAGAGGTATAGGATTTGATTTTCAAAAAATTTGAAAAAACGATTAAATCTTTATTTGAGTCGATAGAACGGTCGATATAATTTAATGTTTAAAAATTATTTCATGTAAATGTTGGCCGCGGCTCCGCTTTAGGCACACTCTCTCCAACATATCGGCCGGTATCTCACGAATAAATGCTTCAATATTGGCTTCCAGTGCGTCAATCGTTGCTGGTTTATCCCTGTAGACATTAGCCTTAACATGGCCCCACAAGAAATAGTCCAACGGTGTTAAATCACACGATCTAGGCGGCCAATTGACGGGCCCCAAACGTGAGATAAACTGTTCACCGAACTCGCCTCTCAATAGGCCCATTGTTTCGTGTGCGGTGTGGCATGTGGCACCGTCTTGTTGAAACCACATGTCAGCCAAGTCCAGCTCTTCCATTTTGGGCAAAAAAAAGTTTGTTATCATCGCACGGTAGCGCTCGCCATTCACAGTTACGTTCCGGCCATTGTCGTCTTTGAAGAAGTACGGCCCGATGATGCCACCGGCCCATAAATCCACACCAAACAATGATTTTTTTCGGGATGCATTGGTAGCTCTTGCAATGCTTCTGGCTGGTATTCACTCTAGATGCGGCAATTTTGCTTGTTAACGTACCCATTCAACCAGAAATGAGTTTAGTCGCTGAACACAATTTTTCGATAAAAATGTGGATCTTCCACCAGCTTTGCCAGCGCCCATTCACCAAATTGTAAACCTTGTGGGAGGTCGTGTGGCTTCAATTCTTGCACCAGCTGTATCTTATAAGGTTTTACACCCAAATCCTGTCGCAAAATTTTACACGTAGTGGAGTAACAGAGGCCCAATTGCTGCGAACGGCGGCGAATCGACATTTCACGGTCATCACTAACACTGGCGGATACAGCCGCAATATTTTCTTCAGTCCTCACTCTACGTCTGCGTGTTGGTGGTTTAATGTCCAATAATGTAAACTGGGTTCGAAATTTAGTCACAAGCTTCCGAATAGCTCCCTCAGTAGGCCGACCAAATTGCCCATAAATTGGAAGCAGTGCTCGATGCACTCTCTTAATCGAGCATGAATTTTGATAGTAAAATTCAATAATTTGCAAGCGTTGTTCGTTCGTAAGTCGATTCATGGTTAAATTATAGACCAAACTGAACAAGTTTGATAATGACACAAGACACGATTCACGCGTCATCTGTCAAAAACAGTGTTGCCAAAAAGATACTAGCAAAAAAATCACCCATTATAAAATTCAGAACTCCAAGAAGTTGGATGCAAGATGTTGAAGAGTACATGATGTCCAGAGGACTCCAAGAGGGAGGCTGGATGGACCGAACGATGTGGCGTTTGAAAAGCGGGAAACGACAGTAGTCGTAAAAACCCGAATATATATATATATATATATATATATAAAATAAGAACCAAATATGATATGAAATTTTTTATATTCGACCACTGCAATTCTTGTAACATAGATTTTATTTTGGTGTACTTATTTTTATTCAATATTATTCTCATAGCTTTATTTTGCAAGACTTGTAATTTTGAGAATACAGCTTCATTGGCAGTGAACAAGATAGTTGAACAATATAGTAAATGCGGTAGAATAATTGTATTATAAACTATTTTCTTGGAATAGGTACCAAGACTATGAGAAGCCCTACAAAAGTAATTTGTTTTTTTGGGAAAAAAATGGCATGTATTTCTGAGTATTTTGATAAAATAAAATATTTTTCCCATACTTATATTTTTTTAATAATAATATTGACTCATTTAAAAAACAAGTGTTCTTTCTGACGACCCTGTATAATAATAATTAGATTGCCGTATTTTTCTAGGTCGTTATGAGTATACAAGTACCTAATGAGTCATCAAAACCAACAGACATCGAACCATTGAAGATGATACCATACATGACAGTGACTTCGAATAAATTTAAAACAAAAAGGAGCACCAGTTTGACAGATATCAACGAACTGATTGACAGTATTACCAAAGATGCATCGCAGTATTTCAATACTAAAAATAAGCATTTTATCAAAATCGAATCTCCAAAAAAACAGAAACATCGAAATCGTTTGAAAAGCGTGGCGGATCCTACGTTTCCCGTCTTCAGGCAGGACGGATTGTGCGTGTCAAAAGCGTACTATAATCGTTTTGTCGAGAGCGATATAGACATGGTTAAACGGGACCTTGAGAATATAAAGATTAATAAGGTCAAAGCCAACGGGGTTATGAAGGGCGTTTTAGGAAGGGTGAAGCAAAATAACGACTGCATACTTAAGAACGACAGGGAAAACGTCACTGTAAAGTCTAGCGATGAGGCGAATCATGTCAAAGTGGCACTTGTAAAAGGAAATAAGGATCACAGGAAGTCTTTAACTCTACCGTTGAAGTCGCTAACAGCTGAAAGTGAGGGGCCTGCTCAGACGCCGTTATCTCGAAGGTATGTGATATTTCAGGTTCCAAGAATCACTGGGAATTTCATACACATTTTTAAGAAACAACGAAATTTTGAATTGCAATCCCACTTAACGATCGGTTCTTACATAGAAGTTTTGCATATGGAAATAAAACAACACGGTAGGTAGTTTTAAATGACTTTATTGTTTTTCGAAGTATTCTCCACGAAGATCAATACACATCTGCTTGCGCTCCAACCAATTTTCGAAGCACTTATTCCACTGGTGGGCTGGCAGATCCAAAACGGCATTTTTGAATGCGTCAACTGCTTCTTCTGGTGACTGGAACCTTTGACCACGCAGTCTGTTTTTAATTTTCGGGAAAGTAAAGAAATCGATAGGACTTAGATCGGGACTATAAGGAGGATGGTCTAATAATTCCACGTTTTCTTCCCAGTCCCTTGCCATATTATTGGACTCATGCTTAAAAATGAAGTTTTCCTGGCTTATAACACGCCAGTAGACATTTACAAAGCTTATCCGTGATGAAACATCAAAATTTATTATAAATACAACAAATGAAAATACATTTTTTTGCAAAAATCAGTATTTTGTATGAACACCTTTCGCAGCCAACACAGCTTCAACGCGACGTGGCATACTGCTTATACAGTTTTGAATTTTTATTTTGAGCTCTGGGTTATGTTTCCAAGTGTCATTAAGTATATTGATCAACTCTTGCTTGATTGTAGGGGCTTTCATCGTAACCTCAGATTTCAAAAACTCCCAGACGTTCTCGATGGGGTTCATGTCAGGCGAATTTCCTGGCCAGTCGAGAATATCTACTTTTTTTTTAGCTAAAAATTTTGTAATTTTTTGTGCACGATGGCAAGGCGCACCATCATGCTTAAAAATTGGCTTTTCTCGTTTGTTGAACTATTTTTTCACTTGAGGGAGCAGCTGGGTTTCCAAAACTTCCTGATATTTTTCGGCATTCATTGTACCATCGACAACGTATAAGGCCACTTGTCCCTTATAACTGATAACTGACCATACCATTACCGAAGGAGGATGTTTAATGGTCGGCACAATGCATTCTGGCTTATATTTCTCATTTGTTCTTCGCCGTACAAACTGCGATTTGTCGACCAATACTTGGAAAATCGACTCGTCCGAAAAACATACTTGAAAAACGTCATAGAATTTAGATTAAACAATATCTACAGTACAAGAACGACTTGAATATAGTTATATAGCATTTATTTACGTTCCTCCAGTTATCAGTCGTGAAATCCTTGTATTTTCGTGCCCATTGGTATCGCTTCGATATCATAGCAGGTGTAAGTCTTGGTTTGCGTGCTGGTCTACGTCTAATAAGACCCTCTTCTGCTAACCTCCGCTGCACTGTTCTTTGCGAAACTTGAATGCCGGCTTCAAGAACTTTTTTTGTAAGAATTTTTATCGGCAGTTTTCGATTTTCAACACAAATATTGCCAATTTTTCGGTCACTTCTCTCTGGCGTGATTCTCCGACCACCGCACACACCTTTACGTTTGGCTCTCAGATTTTCACCGAGGTCTATTTTTTGTTTAATTCGTTTTACAGAACTTTGAGAAACTCCAACAATTCGCGCTATTTGCAAAAAGTTCATAATAACAACAAGAAATATAAAGGAAAAGTAGATTTGCAGTATGAGTCTAATAATATGGCAAGGGACTGCAAATACAGCCTTGTTTTGGGCTGTGTGCCAGCTTGCATTGTCTTGGTGGAGGATGATTCTTCTTTCGGGGTTGATTTTTCACGTTTTCCTGGGTTACTGCCGTTTTTGGAGCACCCACCCTGCGATCGTCGCTAATTCTCCATACCAACGGGAAATTGTCGACTGATGTGGCGCTTCGTTGCCGAAAACAGACAGTAACTCAGGAAGGCATTCTTGTTGCGGTAATTGTCTCTGAAATTTGTAATAAATTATGGCCCGAAAAGGTTCTCGGTTGAGTTCCATTTTTCTAATGACTGGGTGACACTTAAAAATTCACTGAAGTGTATTGTGAAACTTTGAATTTAAGTTCACTAAAGAGTGAGGTTAAGATTCAGTACTGACGTTCGATCCGCGCGGCCTACTATGTTCCTATATGCAAAACGTAAAAGACATCCCTCGTAGTGTCATAATTTAATCATAAAGAGAGGAGGGACATTTAAAGAAAGTATCGTATATATTCCTTTCTTCCACCTTCTGTAGGTACTCGTCCGGTGTTCAGCTAACTCCACTGCTGTCGAAACTAAGTATTCTGGCGTTCGAGGATAGATCGAGCGGTTTCGGTAGCAGAGAAACGACTCCAAGCGAATACAGAGGTTTTACGCCGACTCATTCGAAACCGCTGCCTCACGCGAAATTGAAAAAAGATATAAAAACCGCGAGCAAGACTCAAGATAAGGACGCGATGCAGAAATGCGTTTTATTCGTTTGTGGACAGCAAGATGTCGTGCTTACGGTTTTGATGAGGGAGGAGTGTTGTCGAGAAGAAACTGTTGTTAAAAAGTTGGTAAGTTTGAGAACTATTTATTTGTGTATGGTGTATCTGAAGTCACTTGAAATAGCATAAAAACCTTTGGTCGGTGCGTCCTTTGTAATTTCATGACGTATCATAGGCGTGGGGCATTTATTTAGAACGATAATAATAATGTTTTTATATCACAATAAATGGATTTTACTATCTTCTTATTTTTTTGATTTGGGATAAAAAATACTTATATTGGGAGTTTAATTTATGTTGACTGAAAGTTAAGAAATGGAAAAATTACAGAATTCCAACGTTTGACATAGGCAAATATTTACATAGCAGGTAGGTATATAAAGACTTACATTATAGGTATTTATATATCATCCTCGCCTTCGGAACTGTCGCTAGAGTCATCTTGTAGAGGAATTACAACGGGATTTACAGGAGGCAAAACACAATATTCATTTTCTTTTTCAATAATATGCCTAGAACACTGCTTCCATAGGTCTGTGGCAGCAATATGAGATACTGCATCTCTTATTGTGGCCAATAGCGATTCACTTAATTGAGGGGTCTGATTATGTTTTCTTACTTTTTTTAAAGCAACCCAGACCAACTCAATCGGGTTAAAAATGCAGTAATAGGGAGGTAGACGTAATACTTCATTTCCATTTTGCTGAAGCAGATTGTCAACAACATACTCTTTTTCAAATTTTTGTCTTTTAATAAGATCCAATAATATGGCTTTGGTTGATTTTTGTGGTATTTCCATTCCCTTATCCTTCATAAAATCAATAATGTCTTGTTTTTTGTGCCTGTATTCGGAATTTTGTTTTTCTGTCGGGAATGGTATGGCGCATTGTCCATAATAATCACTGAATTTGGGGAAATGTTTGGTATTAACTGCTGCTCTATCCACTTTTCAAATAAGGCGGAGGTCATGTCCTCATGATAGTCGGCACATGATTCTTTGATATTTTTGGCAGATAACAGCAAGGCATTAGGTATAAATCCATTTTCACTGCCAGCATGGAGAATAATGATTCGTTTTCCACGGTTGCATGGTGCATTTAAAATGCACTTGTTGCTGTCGTCAACCCAGCCCTACTGCACAACATCATGGGTATCATACCACGTTTCATCCAGGTAAATCAGATTTCTTTTCTGCTCTCTATAGATTTTAACTTTGTGCAAAAATTCTTGGCGCAATTCAACGATTCGAGACGACTCCATAATCACCATTCTTTTATCTAATTTTTTGTATTGAAAACCACACAGTTTTACAATACAGTGCAGTGAGTCTAAGCATTTGTAATTATAAAAATCTTCAGGATAATCTTTTAATTTATCCCGTATCATTTCCAACGTGGGCACCAAATTTTCTTTATAAAATCCGTATATTATACGACGAATATCTTCCTGAAAACCCACGTCTATTCTTTTTAATTTTTGCCCTATGCGCTTTCTGTGGAAGGAATGGTTGACTACATCTCCCCTTTTTATAACCCGATAAATAGTAGACCGACTGATTTTTGTCAGGATACAAATTCTGTTTAAAATTTGATTTTGCGAGGAATCTGGATTTTCGTTTTTCAGACAATCATACATATTTAGGATTACTCTTTGGGTCTGTTCCTCTAAATCTTTATGAAAGAATTCTGCCTGCACAGGTTCATCAACCATCTCCTCGTGGCTTGGAGCATTTTCCCAAGGTCTCCAAAGAGCCATAATTAGGACACACAAGAACAATCAACACAACAATTAAATCAACAAGTAAACTGAGTATTCAAAAGTCAAAAACACACAAACTAATAAAATCTATGAAAAAACACGGACAGACTAAAGAAAACACGTTTATTCACCGCTACACGGCACTGGCTAAACTGTTTCAATTTTCAGTAGCCACCTGCACTTGTTCCGAGCTCTGAAATACACGCTTTCTCATTGACTATGTCCACGCATAGGCGTGCTTTACTCCACGTGGACCGGTGAAACTGCCTTTGATCTCTTATATTTGCTGCGAAATTTGGCGATTTTTGCAGCAACAGAGAGTGTTAAATATAGATATATAAAACGCATCCGGTATTTCACAGTGTTTCAAGTGACTTCAGATAAAGTATACATGTATGGTCTCCGAAAATCAAAAGTTGGTCGCATTTTAGCCTACCAAGCAAAGTTAAAAACTGCTTTAAAATAAACGAATGCTCTTCAGGGCGATTTGATTTAGGCCCTTGGCAATCTCAAAAATAATGAATTTTATCCCAGTTATAAGCATTGAAAATTCCCATAAGGGTACCGTTGTTTATATATACATACAGGGTGCGTCATCTTTTATGTCGGTATGTAAACATGAAATAACTTTGAAAACGAAAAACTCATTTCTATATATCGGGTATTTTTATTAAATATGGTCCTTTACAATTTATTGGAACTAGTTTTTGAACACAAACATCTATCAAGTGGCCACATTTATTGGCCAAAACAAAATGTGCCCGTTTTGCTGCGTTTTCCATTACTTTTTCGAGCATCTCTGGTGGTATAGCGGCGATTGCGGTAATAATGTTTGCCTTGAGTTCTTCAGTGGTCTGACTTTTCAAATAACTCTTTTGACATCAGACGTCCAGGGAATTTTCGCTGCAGAAACTGGATTGTTTCATTTGCAGTGTGGCATGGCGTAGCGTCTTGTTGAAACCGGTGACCATCAAGACCTTTTTCACGCATTTGTGGGCAGACATAATGAGCCAACATCCACCGATATCGATTTCCATCGACCGTTTCGTTTTCGTTGAGGACAAATGGCCTAATAATGGTTTTGGCGCAAACCCCGGCCCAAACAGTCACATTCCTGTCATGCAACGGCATTTCGTGGATATTATGTGGATTTTCCGTCCCAAAATTCGACAGTTTTGTTTATTAACGCCGCCAGAGAGCGTGAAATGGGCCTCGTCGGTCATCACAATTTGCTTCCAAAAATCAAGCGAGCGACAGTTTGACCGTATTCCAAGTGACGTGGGCTGTCAGTTGGCAATATTTTTTATGTTAACTGCACCTTATAAGGAAACAAATGCAAATCATCCTTCAAAATGCGCCGCAACGTGGTTCCACTGATGCCAAAATGCTGAGCGCGGTGACGATACGACACTTTTGGGTTCTGGGCAACGCTGTCTCTGACCGCTTTAACCAATTTATTGGAAAGTCTTGGTCGTTGATGAACTGTATGTTCACGATCTCCCACTGTCCCGTACTCAAGAAAATTCGAAACCAAACGACGGTTGTGTTGTCAGACGGTGCCTGTTTGCCACGATATTTTCGACGATATACACGTTGCGTTAACACAACTGAACGACGATTCATGGCTAAACTTGTAGTAAATTGACGTTTCAGAAACAAGTATAACCAAATCACTCGGTTGGTAAATATCAAAGTCATTTGATGTTTCAATACCGACATAAAAGATGGCACACCCTGTATATATATATTTGTTTTACTTCAGTATACACGAACAGTGTGGCACCGTGAATAATTTTATACAGAATTTTACAACCACAAATTTCCATGTAGCTTCGCGATTTGTAATCGTTTTATATTTAACACTACCAATAAAAATAATTCAGGTAAGGTATCACGCTTTTACTTGTTACTTGATCAGCAGGATCCTCATTTTAACAGTAGTACAAAAATAATTGTAATTTTTACGAAAGTTGTAACATTGTTGCTATTGCTACACAAACAAATGAATACATTTTCAAAGCTCCTACAACATTCCATTTAACTCAAGAGTGATCGCGTATGTATTCTCAGCGATTTTGTTTCGGTTATAGTACGACATCTGCATGGAAACCCTGCCGAAAATGGAAAAACTGCTAGCATACAGCATCGAGACACAGTCGAGCGCTTCGTCCGCCGGTAGGGACGGCGAACCGTACAGCTTCCTCTGTCTCGATGCCGACTGGGACACGATAAAAAGGGGCGGTCCCTGGGGGGCGAACGACTCTGGGGCTTCCGTCGCTTTGAACAGGCTGCACAGGGATTTCCAGAGGACCGACGAACTTACGGAGATACTGCTCAGGTGAGAGGTTTTTGTATTTGGACTAGAGGTCACGGTTTTATTATCATTTTGAGTGTAAACATTTGATGTGAGCTCAATATAGCTACAGTGTAAGGCCTTGCTGTTACGCTAGATGGCGCGCTATATTCTTACGATTTCCACGACGAAATATTGCTACGTAAATTGACATATCAAATTTTCCTCTGGAATACCGTGAAACTTTATTTTTAGAACGCTCCATTAATTTCTATCCACAGTTTCTGAGATTATATATATACAGCAGACGCTCGATAATGTAAACTAATTTAATCCAAGTGTGGTTCACATTATCGAAATGTTTACATTAGCGAACGGATTTATATAATATTTGATTTATTAAAAGAAACGTTTAATACATACTATTTATGACAAAATAAACAAATATTCTAACAGCGATAAGTATTTTTTCAATTAAAAGAAAAATAGTTAACAATTTTTGTCTGCGTAAATTTGCGCTTAGCATTGTCTTCCAAGGCCTGCGCCCGTAATATACGAAGAACTAAAATATCCGTGTATGAAACTTCTTTTCTTTCAGCCCAATCTAAAGCTTGGTTGAAAACTTGTATAGTTCGCGCGTCAGTCACTACACTTCTGAATTCAATGGGATCGTTCTCATCATCCTCACTGTCCATATCCACCTCCTTATCAGCATCATTCATCTGCTTATCTTCGTTCCATAAATTAATATCAGCAGGAGTACAAACAATGTTGGGATTCACTGTTTTCAATAAATCAACAACATCCAATGACACACTAATAACATTATCATTATTGGATCGCAAACATTCTCTACGTAATTACGCTTAAGGGGACATCGTCTTCTTCATCATCTTCATTATTGGTACAAAAGAGATTGTTCCAACATTTTTCAATAGTTTGCTGGTTAAGTTCATTCCAGGCCATATGTAAATCTAAAACAGCTTCTCGTAATGTTACTTTTTTTAAAGCCTCAGATAAGTTTTCAGGTATCTTTGATAAGACAGACGAAAGTAGAAACTTCCTATAGTATAGTTTGGTGAGTCTTATTATAATCTGGTCCATCGGTTGAATTAACGGTGTTACGTTGGGCGGCATGTACATGACGAAAATTGACCCATCCCTGCTCCTCAGTTGTTGCTCAGGAGGATGACTTGGTGCATTATCCAATAGTAACAACGCTTTTATTGGAAGCTTCTGTTGTTTTAGGAAACCTTTTACCTACAAATTGGAAACACACCTTCAAATTATGAATAGAGCATTTGTGATAATTGATTGTCATACCTGAGGGACAAAGCACCTGTGGAACCATTTCAGGAATATACTGCTAGTCATCCAAGCGGTTTTTGAACAGTCATAATCAGAGGGATATTAACATTTTTAAATGAGCGCGGATTTTTTGCTTTCCCAATTACCAGTGGCTTTATTTTGTTTGAATCATTAGCATTAGTGCAGGCTAGAAACGTTATTCGTTGTTTCTCCGGCCTTCTTCCCGGTGCAGATTTTTCAAATGATGCAGCATAGGTTTTCTCTGGTAACATTTTCCAATAAAGGCAACTTTCATCTGCGTTGTAAATTTGTTCCATTCTTAAATCTAGCTCGGTAATTGTTTTCATCAATTTTTCTTTGAATGGTTGCACTAATTGTGGTTGTGCTGATAATTTTTCACCAGATATAGACAGCAGTCGAATTCCATATCTTGTTTTGAATCGTTGTAGCCAGCCATCACTAGCTACGAAATTTTCAGTTTCTTTCAGTTTTTCATTTAACAGTCTCGCTCTCTGTTTAAGTACTTCGCCACTAACTGCGACATGATTTTCCCGTTGTTTTAAAAACCACTTATACAGGGAATTTTCCATTTTAGGTGCCTTCGCATTTTTTAAAGTTTTTCTGTTTCCCGGACCTCCAAATGTATTGCACGTTCTTTGTAAAAATTTGAGTTTTCATACGCTTAGTTTTACAGATTGTTGCTTTCGATACTCCATATTTTTTTGCTAACTGTGTCACTCCCGCACCTAGTACAACTTCGTCTATGATTTTCACTTTCTCACTCAACTTTAAACAATTTCTTTTATAGGATGTGGATGCCATAGTCGTAAAATATATTAACGCGTGCAATGTATTTACGTTAAGTTCAAAAATGAAATACATACGTACGTATAAACGTATCCTAAACGATCATACGACTGACCGAGTTTGTCGTATTTTATCGCAGAGGTGAATCCCCTACACTCTACATCATAAATCGGGGACTCCCCGACGCCCGACATAAGTCATCGAGGCTTCAACCTTTTTGCCGTCGCGCTGTTTCCGTGCGCCGAGAGTTGTTTACGTTATCGAGCGTACACATTGTTTACGTTATCGCGCGTTCCATTTGATCCTATAGAACGAAGTTTGTGTTTACATTAGCGCAAGTTTTCATTATCCCGTGTTTACGTTATCGAGCATCTGCTGTATTTTTTTTGATACGAGGTAGCCCATTTATCCTCGCTATGATTTGGAAAGTACTGATCGGATTTTGCCGAAAATGTTACCCAAGATGTCAAGGACAAAAAAGCTTGTTACTTTTCGAAAATCCATTCGGTGATGAAAGAGCGGGCAAAAACGAAAAAATTAGAAACGCTAGAATTTCGTTTTTTGACGTTTCAGAGACTCCTGGTCATTTTTAGAAGACTTTTTGTAGTAGTTAAAAATTGAAGCGTGTAGTGGTGGGCGAGGTTATCTTGCGAGTGGCGAGGCTAATCATAGCAACGTTGCCAGATGCTCGATACTGTCCGCGGTGTAGGGAAGACATTTCTAGATCCCAACATTGTCAAATGGGTGGGGATTCTAGACTATTATATGGACCTAGTTGACTGAGTTGATCCATTTTTTTACACTTTCGAGTCCCCAAGCAGCGATGTATTGTGAGATCTTGATAATCAATTACTTGATTATGTTTGGCCAGTAGAACAAGAAACAAAATTAGAATCTGTTTTTTGTCATTTAACTTGACGTCTTTCAGGTAGATTGTTTCACAATCTGCGCCAAAGAAACGGTAGTTCCAGATGGTTCTTGTTATATAGATCTCAGTCAAGTCAGGGGGAAGAGAAGCAAGCTTGTCTAACAGCCTTATGGAAAAAAATTATTAAATGGGATGAGGTCCGTATGATACCTCCTTTTGAAGCTCCTTACGAGCACTTTCCATTCCATTTAAACAAATTTTCAAAATCTGTCGACATTTTTCAAGCTAAGTATCTCAAATTTCGGACAGCCAGTTGAAGTATAATTCAAAACAGCTTGTATATGACGCCTGATAGCTAGCGACATCATGGTGACAGCGACATTGAAAGCTTAGTGATCGTGACGTTACTTTTCCTCTAAAATGGTAAAAGATCTCGTTATAAAAGCAATAATAGCCGTCCTTGGCTTGCTCTATGTGCTGGCCTGCTCAGTTGACCCGCTGTACGCTCTAACCATGAAATCGATGACTGTCCCCCTTCAAATCAACGTGGGATTTCAAGTGCTGCTCATAATATCAGCTGTACCGATGTTTGCTGGCATTTTACTAGGAGTTCAGCCTCCCCTGGTGCCTGGTGTCGTTGCTGCAATGTATTCAGCTGTTCTCGATGCATGTTGGATAGTCTTGATGCATTTTAAAATTGTTGAAACTGGGAGCGGTATATTGGTGGTGTCGTGCTTTTTGGGCACCAAAATCGGCCTTCAAACAAGCTTAGCTGTACTGCTGATGGTGTTGATACGTAGAATGGATAAGGAAGAACTGCCTCCCGAGGATTTTATGAAGAGTTATCCTATTCGGAGGTTTGGTAAGGGTAGTTCGTTTACTTTGCGAGCATACTGTCGAGGAAGATTTCGAAAATGAGATATGTTTTTTTGGATAGTATATGACATGTACATTACGAAAAATCATATCGCTTACTTTCGTCAAAAGCGAAAAAAATCTCAAACCTCGTTGCGATAGGGTGGATGATATATCTCATTTTTGTGATGTTGGTTTATTTATACGTCTCCAACCCTCCTAATTAAGTAAATATGCACCTAATTAAACTTATTTCACGCATCCTCTTACATTTACCATTAAAACTTGGAAATATCTCTAACAGTGGCATGTCGTGCGTCGCAGTCGGCAGTCACTTCCGTGCTGCTGTGGACTGTATGCTGTAAAAGTCAGTATCGTAATCCACGCGGGATTAGTCATAGCAACGATCATGTGCGCGCTTAGGGATTTCTCTCAGGGGGAGGAGCAAGGTCATTTATTTTTTTGTTATACATGTTCGTAGCTGAAATATGTGATTGCAGATGCGGTGAGAGCATAATCTACGGTAATAACACTGGTCCAGCTGAGGTCTACTACCATGAGCCGGCGAATGTTTGTTCGGGCTTGCCACCACCTGGCGACACCATGGGCTTGGTGCAGTTGAAAGCCAGGCGGAGACTGGAGAGAGACCATGGAGTCTTATTGCTGTAAGGCGTACCTTTTGACATGTTACCGTTGTATAGTTTTGGAAAATAAAAACGCACGAACGTGACAACTCGAAGAGAAATACTGACTCTCAGAATAGAAGTAATTTATTTGAATACACACCAAAGCAAAATGATCGCTCTCATTCTCTAGCTGTCGCTGCTCTGTAGTTTTTACGTTTCTGGCTGTAGTTTTCTTTAGTACAAAGATTATGTTCGCAGAGGATGCTGAATACAAGTCCTTATTAACATATTCGCAAAAGCTCTCTTAACTATTTCATATGGAAAAACGCTAAAGTTACAATGGCATCTAGTTAAGGAATTCTTTATTTGAGGCTTTCTGGGCAAAGACACCGAACGTGCTGAACATAAAGACTCGGTTCAAAATGCCGTCACAAAAAATCACGTACGGTAGCCTTCAGTTTTTGAATACTTGGAAAATATAATTTAATGCTTCTTGCGGCATAACTTCGTACATATCAGTGTTGACTTGAAAAACTGATGATCTCCAATGAATATATATATATATATCATTAAATCTCAGCTAATGATGTAGTTTATAAAAAATATTCTTGTATCATAGCAGACGTTAAGATTATTTCACCGCCCTAGGATATAAAGGAGTCCACAGGCTGAAAATATTTGACATGAGTACCCATTGTACTTTACCGCCCGGTCGTAGAATTATCTATATGTTATATCTTCGATATGTATTCAGTTTCCTTTTATACAGGGTCCGGCACAAAGGTCGGACGCTTTTTAAAAAATGAAATAGTGATCGTTTTTATAGCGCTCAGAGTTCACGGTAACAGCATCGCCGTTACCGTCTTCGAAGAAGTAAGGAACGATGATGCAACTGGTAAAAATGCTAAGTACGCCCTAGTCGAACGGCACTCTCCCCACCACTTTCGCCCGAATAGGCGGAGAGTGCTAGCCATTTAAAAAATATCCGTCCTTTGTGCCGGAGCCTGTACATGGTCAAGGTGGATTTAAAATATTTTCTCAAACAAGACAGTCTTCTGTGACTACCGAACACATGATTTGTCTATTTATACAGTCAGTTGACACTCAAAGTGGGCCACGCATGTATGACGTTCAATATTTTAGTTATTTAGAAAAACACTTAAAATAGTTTTTTCATCTCGTGTAAATCCACTTCATTCTTTTAGCCATTGAATAGGAACTAGATATAATCTATTAAATATATTTGTTGTCTAGTATGTAGTGTTTTTTTACGTTGTTCGAGCATGGTTAATATGAAATTATTCATGATATTTAATATGTAGGAGAAATTTCTGTCCATTCGCATATTGTCTGTGATTTTGTTTTTTAGTGTAAGGTTAAATATAATTTTTGAATCTTGTTTTGCTATAAAGACTTTCCACAAGACATCGCATAAGTCTGCACGATTGTATCAACGACATATAATGTCGCCTCACTAATCGTCATATTCTTAGATAGTTTTCGGCGTACAGACGTTTTTTCTGTCGCCTTTCTGTTTGCTTTTTGATTGGACTTACCAGCCTGCATCCTATTATATTATTAATTTCTGTTTGTATTAATTATTTCCATCAGTATGTCCGTTAACTTTTCTCATTAATACGATCTTTTTTCATTCCGATTGAATTGACTTATCAGAAAGGTTGAGGGCAAAGTTTTAGGATACAAAGTTCCTACAGTATATTCAGATAAGAGATAGACCGGACATAAACAAGACCACGTGATCATCGAACGCTGTAACATTCGGCAGGGACGTATTAAGAGTCACGCAGTACATATTTTAGATAGTAGATGCTGCTTTGCGTAACTTTGTAGTAAATTAGCACAAGTCGATGTGTATACGATTGGTGATGGATATAGGATCATGTGGGGGTGGGGTAAGAAATATATAATGATGTAAATATACATAAGGGTTTCAAAATTTTCGCTTCGATCTCCAGCTTCGGATGCCGCCTGATGTTTGGTGAAATACAGTCGAATACAATCTCAAAATGGCGTTTAAATTAGCCTAAATTAAAAATAATCGTATATCTCTTAAAATTGCTTTTAGAATATTGATTAGTATATTTTTTGATTTCTAGGTAAATATGTAACCAAATTAAAACGTTCAAAACGTAAAAAAATGTGCATGGTTGAGCATTGTCAGAAAGTAGATTCTTGAATAGATTTTGCCAAAATGGGTTCAAAAATGTCAATAATTAATTAAAAAATACAGTAGCTTTATAATTACTTATAACTTACCGAATTTGATGAACGACATCTTTTATTGGAAAGATGAGCTTGATGAGCTTTCATCATCGCTACTGCCTGAAGCACCAACGTAAATAATGAATGGCTCGACTTGTTCCTCTAAAATATTGTCCAGTTCCCACATTCTCTTTTCAACTTTGTCTTTCACGTGCTTAATACAGTTTTCCCATTTTTGCGCTGTTATAAATTCTAGTGCTTCTTTGAAAAGTCCTTTGAGGTCACAAAATTTAAAAGTTGTATTGTGCTTAGCTATATAATTTTTCACCTCTGCCCATATGAGCTCAATGGGATTGAGCTCGCAATGGTATGGAGGTAAACGGAGCACAGTTTTATTTTGACTTGCTGCCATTTCGTCAATGGCGTATTTTTGATATTCCGCCTTGTGATCCTTGACAATTCTTAATAATTGTACTTTCAGCATTGCTTCTTCAAAGTTGATATTTTTCGAGCGGAGCCAATTTTGAACATCAACTTTCCTTGAAGCCGTTGTTGGGACCTTCTCCATTCTTCGAGAATGATAAGGCGCATTATCCAACACAATTACTGCGTTTTCCTCTAAGTTCGGTAAAATTTTTGAAAACCACTGTTCAAACGATTCGCCATTCATTTCCTCGTGGTAATCTCCAGTTTTCTTAGACTCAAAGCACCACAGACCGTCAACAACAAATCCATCCTCACTGCCAATATGGCAGATAATGAGCCTTTTCCCTTTACCTGGAAATCGAAGTACTAACTGGTGTAGATTTATTTCAATAAGCGAACCTTTTTCAAATGTTTTCATCACATTCAGCGAAAAAACATTGAGACATGAGTATCAGATAGCTATAATTGGGATTATTTAGTCATATTGAAAGAAAGAATATTGAACGTCGTATGATTACTCAGCGCTTCACAATTTAATTTAAAGTTATAAACCTTTAAAAAATGAATGATCAGGAACCTGAAATACGCGCAAATATTAATATTAACAAATTATAACTTTATAAAGCTTAAAGTATGAATTAAAATGATTAGAAATATTAGGAACGGTACACAATATAAAACTTAGTAACTTTTTTAAGTTTATAATATTCGACATATTTTAAGATTATATTAAAAAATTATTGAAAAATCGAAAACACATAAAAACATGGCTTAAAAAAGTTCTAACAAATGAAAATGACAATAAAACATCCACGCATTTTATCGAAAGTTATAAAAGTTTTGTTACTTGTAATATGTTTTATCTGCCCCCTGGAATTAATGTTTAGAACCTTGTTCCCAAGGTTTGAAAAACATCCGATTGTTGTCTATTACTCGTATTTACCTGCTGGATTTTTAATCCGGTGGACAGTCCATCTAGAAAGGCCCTCCTGGATGAAGTTACAGAATCATCAACCCATACTTTACTTGTAGTGTGTCCTTCGTTTACCCAGGTTTCATCAAGGTAATAAATCTTCCTGTTTTGATTTCTATATTTGCCAATTTTTGTTACATAATCCCTCCTCCATAGCACAATTTCTTCTCTATCCAGTAGTAAACTATTACGACCCCGTTTTTTCGATTTGAAATTTAAATGCTTCAGTAACGCATGGAAAGTTGATCGTTTGAAATTTGGCAACGTTGTATCTCCATTTACCTCCTGCAGTACTTTATCTATAGTAGGTATTTCATTCCTAAAGAAGAATTCATGCACTTTCCTCCTAATCGCATGCTTATCAGCTTCATCCAATGATTTAACAATACTTTTGCGATGTTTACTGGTCATTGGCTCAGAAAAGGTGTGATTTTTTTGTATTGTCTTAACACATTAAACACTGATGCGCGACACACCCCAACTTTGTGAGAAACCTTCACAACAATTTCTTTGATGGTTGATGCCTCGTTCTCCTCGCGCTCGATCTTATATATATTCAAAATGACCTCTTTCATTTCTGCACTCAGGTGTCTTTTTTTAGAGCGTTTCCTAGGTGGACTACAGGAGTTTACAACTTCATCGGCAGTATCTGTACTACTGGGCATTTTGCGCAAGCAGTTGATAACAATAACAACGACAAACTCAACAACTTAATAAGATAACAAACGAAAACGTCCAAAGAAATATCAAATTGCAATGATGCACACGACATACGTAACACGTCTGAACCTGAATGTGACTCTGCCTTGATACGACTGCTCTGCCGCTCGGCATAGGCATTTAATTGCGAATTGACCAATGAGTTCTCCTGTTTTACGTCGAGACGGCGGCGTTAGCGTGAAAATCACCCGAACCTTTTGTTTACATCCGGTCTATCTCTTATCTGAATATACTGTAACCTGCTATTTAAAAAGTTACATTGGGTACTTATATGGAAGAATATTCTTACAATAGGTGATTGTCTCGATTTTTTCAAACTATCTTGTTATTCATCCGTCAGCGGTGTCTTCGTGAACAAACAGGCGTTTTATAGTGAGACCAAATTCATACTAGGAACGTTGCTAACATAAAGCTTAGATTAGATTAACGATAGGTATGTGCCCGAAACTATGTAATTTTTTTTTCATAATATCACAATTAGCATCTAATCTTCATAATAAATACAATTCAACCCGCGGAGGCCTCGCCAATTCATCTTCCTGTTATTTTGGCCGCTAAATTGAACCACATATTAAAAAATACTTCAATGATATTTTGGTTGCATCATCAGTTAACATCATTTTCAGCTTTGTACTAGGGGTATTAAAATTTGTCTATATTTTGGTTCTATTGGAAAGGCGTTTGAAAAATGAATATATGGAATTTACATAGTTTCTGGCACATCATTGTAAAATTGGTCATTTAATAGCTTGCCTTGCCATAGTATTAGATTTTCTAGAACTGCAATGTGTTATTTGAAAAATGACACATTATCAACTCATAGAAAGGCATATTTAAACATTTATTTACAATTTTTTAGAAAGCTTCATAAACACTAATTTTGTAATCTGCTATAATTAAATAAAGATTGTTGAGGCAGCTGTTGATTTGACTGTGCATCATATGACAAACTACATCGTTCTATGAAGTCCAAAGTATTTATAATTACCATACATGTGATGTACCTACATTCCAATATTTCTTGTGCCAAACGTTTTCCATTTTTCGGATTGTTCGATTTTGTGTGATATGAGTTTTATTTATATTGTGTCTACTTCAATTTTATAGTTATATAGTTTTGATAGGTGTACCAACTTTTAATATTAAAAGGAATGATAATTGTCTTATCTGTTTTGAATTTTCGCCCTGTGGCCTTCTTAAATCATAGAAACTGCGACACGATAGCTATAGTGATACGAATTTGCGACCAACCTACACACAACTACCGTCATTATGGATGTCCGATATCCAAATCGCAATAACTTGAAAATACACAAGGCGTTTGGAGAATTTCAATATCGCAAAAAAATACACTCCGTATCATAATT